GTCTGTCTTGAATCTTAATGGAATGTTTTCATAAGTAACTCAAAAGTAAGTATGCATTTATAGAACGATATCCTACTAACTAAAACAGCATTAAAGTACTACATGTATGTGATGCACAATGCATATAAGTGGCCTAGTTTAATTTTATTTATTTATTCACCTTCTATAGCTGCCCAACTCAATCAGGTGACTCCGGGTGCTTAAATTTGTATTTTGTTTTATTATGAAAAAAGTTAAAGAATATTGAAGCTCATGTTATAAAATGGCTGCTTTGATCCTGACTAAATTTGGCAAAAAAAATCATTTTAACTGCAAAGATGCATAATTGAAAAGGAAACCATTAGATACCAGCAATCTCTGAAATCAGGACTACAATTTAATACTAGCTGATGAAAACTGTGTGATGTAATGAAAAATTATAACTGCTTGTACTCAGGGCCCTGGAGATTTATATATGCAGTATGCATCCAAAATTGCAATTTTCATTCTTGATTAAAATGAGAGATGAAATGAAGAAGTCTCTGGATACAAGGACAAGATCTGTCGAAAGCTGAACAAGCACAGTCAATGTGATCAAAATAGATTTACTTATTCCTCTTCAGCAATTAGGGACTTTCCCCATAAGGTTGGCATAAAATGACCGATCCAATGGATGTACAGTTCAAATATGATTCCATTTTTTTATGTGACAGAAGCAAATTAATGTGTTTAGATTTGCAAATTAATGTGTTTAGATTTGCTCTTCTTCATCATTAAAATGAATGAATGTACTATTAATAAGAACCAGAATTCACTTTTATTTATGGATTTGGCTACATTTTCTTTTCTTTTCTTTTTGAAAATTTTATTTGGGTTTTCACAAAAAAAACATAATACAAATAAAACATCTTTTTTTGAAAATAGCATGGTCCCAGGTTACACTTCTTCATACAGACACAAACTCAATTTCATGCTCACTTTTATGTTCTATTCCGTATCTTATTACTGTTTTACATTTTCTACATAGTTTTTCTCCTCTCTTAATTTTCTCAATTTTATTTTAATTATCTCATATCAGTTTTAATCATTATATTTATACTTTTGTCTGTCCTGTTTCAATTTCATATTTTCTTTTCTCATTAAACAAATTTTCTCCTGTTGTTACTAATTGGAGTATGACACCTTTATATCTTTCAATTTTATCCATTCAACTCTTATTTAAGCTTCAATATATACCTTGAGATTATAACATTCAATATAATACATAACTTCCAATCAAATTCTGCTTGGTACATTCTTAAAATACACACTATATTCTTAAAAAGTGATTATAAATATATGTAATTAAAACACTCATTCCATTCCAATTCAATTCTATCATTAATATTCATTAAAGTCTTAACATCTTTAACATTATTTTTCAATTAAAATAATACTTCCTTGGGAACACTTATAAGCTTTCCGTAATTAATTTTTTCCCCCTATTTCTCTTCCCTTATATTTTATAAAACATTAAATAATTAAAATGTTCCCATCCTTTCCTAATTCAATTCTCTCATTCATTTTATTTCATTTATTTATTAACAAGCATTTCACTAGATTACAATAACTATTTTATCCATCATTTTAATCATACATTGTTTCATATTTTCTAAAATTATTTCTATTTCTAATAAAACAATACTATCTTATGTACTTTTGCAGAATCCCTTTTTCAATTAAATTTTCACCCATTATCTCTTAAATAGGCCCTGTTTCTCCATATCTTGTTTCTGTCCTTTATAACTTCTTTTCCTTTCCTTCTTCCCTCTCTTCTTCTCCCTCCCCTTTTTACCCCTTTGTCTCTCTAGTTGTAATTCTCTCTTCTGTATTCCTCTCTTCTGTTGCTTTCTAATATTATACTTATTTTTCAAATTATTATTCCTTTTCTTGGTTGTTTTTTCAAATCTTAAACTTTTCATTCTCTTTCCCCCTTTCCTTCCCCCCCCCACATAAAATTCATTAAAGATGGCTTCTTTGTCCCAGTCTTCTTGTTCTGCAGGCATTTCTTGTTGTTTTTCATAGTTCCAGATCTCCATTTCTAAGAATTGAAATATGAAGCCAAAAAGAACCTCTCCCTTCCTGTGCATCTTCTTTGTACTTTTTAAGTTCCATTTTCAGTTCATCTAAAAGTAGTGCCATTTTAAAACATTTTTAAACAACCACCTGATTGATTTTAGTCATTCAAATGCAATAACCAAAAATCACCAAATAATCCAAATACTCCCAAGCTGTTTCTTCATGCTTCTTTTTTCCACTTTCTCTTCCTGGGGTTCTACTATTTTGTAGCCAAGTTTCAGTTAAAATGTATCTTTTAGAAGTCTTGTTGAGGTTTTACTGTAAATTCCTTTTAATTCCAGGCAGTCTCCTCCCTTTTTTCCCAGATCCTGCCCTTTTATTCTTTTTCTCTCCTTTCCTGCTTTTAAAAGGTTTTAAGTATCCAGAAATCTTTATTATCCCTTTGACATTTTATTTTCAGCTTAAATGCCTATTGATGTCAAAGTGGATTTTTTTTCCAATTTCTTATTTAGATCTCTTAGCTGTCAGTATAGGGAAAAGGAGAGAAGAAAAAAACCCCAATCCTTTCCCTTTTCTCTCTCCTTCGCTGCTTCCGACTCTTCTTTGGGAACAATGTTACTTTTTTAAAAGTTTAAATTCCAGGGTATCTTAGTTGTTGTTTTTGCAGTTTAACCCAGTCAACCAAAACATTCTCTTCTTATCTTCCTCCTGCACATTCTTTTCTGGTCGAGTTCTTCTTTGAGGTGGCCATTTCTGACCACTGCTGCAACCGCCTTTGGGAAAGGGAGTAATGGCCAGCTGAGGAGGAGAGATGTGGCTCTCCTCAACCCTGCTGGCAGTCTCCCCCCTCTTCACCACCTCTATGGGATGGCTTAGCCCCGAAACCAGCCGGCTCGGGGCGCTCCAGCGGCAAGCACGATCGAAACCACGCATGATCGCAGTTTCGGTCTGTCCGTGAAGAGGCTCAAACCGGAAGTCCCTACATTTTCATTCATTAAGTCATTGTGGGATAGGCAAACCTTGTTATGCCCATAAAAATGATATGTGAACATATTCTTTACCAACTAGTTTCTGAATTCAATTCAAAGTGCTATTATTGCCTATAAAATCATAAATAGCACAGGGCCTATTTGTTTCCCCATAGCATTTAACTTTCTGTGCATTCCAATAGAGTCAACTTGTTTCAAAACTCATTAAGTAATGTCATGTTGTTTGTCAATTTTGTGGTACCTGCTGTTTGAAACAACATCACTCTGCAGATTCATATGGCCTCATTTTGTCCACCTTCAAGAGTTCTTTAAAATACTATTTCTTGTGCCAGGCCTTGGGTTAAGATGGTTGGATGGGTCACTTTAAGCTAAGGCAGTCTATGGAAGAGTGAGTGGTTTTGTTCCTTCAGACAAGTTGATCATGGAATTGTTAATTTAGTTATGTTAAGCTATCCAGAAGCATCATACAAAATAAATAAATAACTATACAAACAAATAAGGAGAGGAAAAACAGGGATTTCAATGAACAGAGAAACTTAAGTATATGAACATGATAGCAAACAATAAATAAACATAGAAGAATTTTTATTAAAGTAGGAAATTCTGGTCAGAGAAATGGTAATTTTGAATAAATAAAAGTAATGCAAAGGGACAGTAAGAGGCCCCAAGGAGAGAAAGGAAAAAGATCAATACAACACTGAATACAATCAGAAATCCATTATTTGGCTAGGGGAAGGATCTAATTTAATTGATGCACTTATTTATTTTAAACCATTGAATTATTTCAAACCTTAGAGGGAAGTATTACATACAAACATAAATAAACAATTCAACATGATGTACACAAAAAGAACAATAAAAATTAATATATAAAGAGAATAAATAGATAAATTAATAATTTCAATGGAAGGCAGCTACAGAAAAAGTTTAGTTTTGTTTTAGTATTGTACAAAAAGTGACGTGCTTCTGAAAATTATCCATGATGAGGTAATGAAAAGAATAAGAAAATAAGATGTGTTCATGAGCAATCAGTTGACAATGTTATGCAATGTGAAAAGGGTTGATAAAGGAGGATTTGGGATTTTCTTTTTCCTTTCTAAAGAATGAATGGAAACATATATTTATTAAGGATCATTGGAATCACATAGAATAATGCATATTTATTATGCAATAAATGCATACTATTTTTGCTCCACCACTCATTCTTACACATATTAAGTCACCTATTTCAAAGTCATTTGGGTACAAATGTCACTCAAATATGTTGTAGTTAGATGGTTAGCTTCCTAGCGATCTATAACATTTATCCTATTGTGACTTATAGGTGCTTACATTATGGTGTTTTTATTACAATTGTACCTTAATTTAATATTTTATCTTGTATATTGAATATGTATACCATGTTTCCCCAAAAATAAGAGCTATCACAAAAATAAGCCCTAGCATGATTTTTCATGTGTACCTAATATAAGCCCTACCCCAAAATAAGCCCTAATTAAGACCCCACCCACTTGGTCCCACTGTCTGGTTGTACAGGGTGGGACAAGGCGCATGTGTAAAAATCAACCTATGATGGGAGTGGGGAGTGCAACGGCTCCACATGCCCCACACCCACTTACCTTAGGACTGCCACAACCAGGCCTCCCATGCCCCGACATCTGTCACATCACTGCCTGACTACTATGGCTGCAGAAGAATTTGAGCAGCAGCGCGACAGGTGCTGGGGCATGGGTGGCCTAGCGGCAATGGTCCTAAGGTAAGTGGGTAAGACTTCCTCTGAAAATAAGACCTGGTGCTTAGTTTGGGGCCCAAAAGAAAATAAACACTGAGTCTTATTTTCGAGGAAACGCTGATGTTTCATTTAAACTTATATTTGTGTCTGTAGGTATAATGTGTTTTATTTGTGAATCTATGATGCCATATGCTAAATAAATAAACTTTAATATGTTGAATTTTCCATAAAGAACATCTTACCATTGTTGTTTCTGCAATGGATCCAAAACTATTAATGAAGATGTTGCATGTAACATTTACTGGAGGCCCTAAAAAACATTAAGGCATGAAGAAATTAGTGTCTATATGAAAGTGAAGTTTGTACTATTTTCAAAATGTATTAACAGGCTAAATTTTAGTGGAAAAATAAGATATTCTAAGGTATAGTTGAATATTGAATATTATATTGGCATGGTAATTATGTATCTAAATTCTTAAAATCCATTAGTAATTATGATGACCAGGGGCATGGCACAAAAGCAACAAACTCACAAAAATAGGTAAACTTCCTTTAATACTTTCAACTTGCCCCCCAATGCCCAGTTATCATCGGCTGGAGAAAAAACTCTCCCAAGAACAGTTTTTAAAGGGAAGAAATTCCATCTGAACCCAAAGTACATATAAATTATAAATAAAAATCAACACAAATCACGCTGCAGCAATTAACGAGACAGGGCAGGATAAGGAATTGAAGACTTCAAAAGATAACGAAACACACACAGTTGGGAGGACTCCATAACCAGATAAGACTTGAGAAACCAAAATAATTCATACTTTGCTTCCAGCAAGGAGCTGTGCGCAAACACCCTTTTTATCCTGTTTTCCTAGCTATAGCTAATGAAGGGAATTGGGCCTTTTCTCCCCCTAACCATGAAGAGGGGGTGGGCCTGGATCTTCCTCTGAATGCCCTACCGGACTGTGCCCTTCCCCAGTTTCCTTCAAAGCCACCAGAGCTATACTGCCACTCACTGTCAGCTGTTCCTCCTCTCCCTCAGAATCAGATTCCAACAGGGGCATGACAGTAATTGAACAAGCTTCTAGAACATTTCTTTCTAAACAATAAAGAATTTATGATAGTTGAATGAAATATTTGGATGCTTTTGGAATATAATTTTGTGCAACTTGTTGAGTAGTTGATTTTACTTTGAGTGATACAATAGACAATACAGTTCTACAGCACAATGACTAAAAGTGACATTATTTCACAAAGCTATTCCTTCAATCCAATCCAATTCAACCTAGTCATATTAGGTTATAATTCTGAAAGTTAATAAGGGTATTTCATGCTAGTATCATTATTCACACATGGTTTACACTATAATTGCAAACATTTAGAGGCAAAAACTCTTCTATTTAAAACTTTAAATTACATCATAGGTCAGTGCACAAATAAAATGTAAAATATTTCCAACAAATGACATAAATATACTTGTGAAAGGAAATTCACTTCATTTCTCAGCAATTATTATAGTGTTATATTTTTTTAATCATTTGAAACATGCCTTCTTATAATTAAAGAGAAAAATTAAATTCTCTTCCCAAATGGTTCAATGTATCTTAGTGAAATGAAGATGATCATATGATTATTTTATTATTTTATGCCTATCTTAATATCACTTCCATGTTTTATATGTGAATGACCAAACCCTATCAATGAAGTTATTGTCCAATTGATAGTGGCAAAACACTAATTCAAAAGAAAAAAAATCTGGTAGCTTGCTTGCTATCACATTCTTTATTCCTATAGGATACCTGTTATCTGCCTACCTATCTATTTTTCCATCTTTTGTGGGGATAAGCAGATACAAACTAATAAATAATGCTGTAGCCATTCCTTTTTTTAAAGGGCCTATTGACCATGAGACCCATTGTAAATTTATAAAAACAATAATATAGAAGTCCGAAGCTAATGTTTTATTTTGAAGCATGGTAACTTCTTTTTAAATTTTAATTAATTTTAAACAAAATTAGTTGAGTTAATTAAATTAGTTGTATATAATTCCCACATATTTTATTTTTCAGATATATAGCACTGTAGATAAATAATACTTTGTTTATTTTCTGCTTTCTGCTTAACTGGAACCCAAGTATTTGTAAAATACCACAAATTATCACCAGGTTGGGGTGGGGAGATTCAGAAAATTTCAAACAATATTCTAAATATTTTGAAGTTGCAAAATCCACTAATGGCTTTACATATGTCCCATTTTACACTATAATATAGTAAATCAGGGTGATTGCACTGTATATATCATAAGCTTCAGTATCCAATCACTAAATGAATCACTAAGATCTAAGTTTTCTATTTATATCTTTTCTTCTGAGATCTTTTTAAAAGCACAAATAAAGGAGGGGAAATTATTTGTTCAAAATAACCTTTTGTTCAGAATAGTTTTATATTAAATTGAACTGGAAGTTGTGCTGATAAGGTAAACAGCAATAAATAAATATAACAGTTTATGTCCTGGCAATAGTTGTGTAGGAATGAAAAGTAATGAAATTATAATGCAATATTAGAAGTACCTTTCATCTTAAGTAATTATAGAAGTTTATATCCATCCAAATTTATTTCTAATGGTCTGTGGATCAGTGTAGCATTGCATGGCTACATATCAACATCCAACCCTAGGTTAACCCACTGGAGTGTATGGAGCTGTGCAAGCAGGAAGATGAGCAAAGTCTGAGCCGATGAGTGAGGAGTGAGCCAAGTCGAGCTGAGGAATGAAGAAGGACAGAGGAACAGCAGATGGTGGAGAATGCACAAAAGAGGCAGTGTAGGATTCAAATTTTTTTTACTACCGGTTCTGTGGGTGTGGCTTAGTGGGCGTGGCAGGGAAAGGAGGCTGTAAAATCTCCAGTCAGAGGTGGTATTTGCTGGTTCTCTGAACTACTTAAAATTTCTGCTCCCGGTTCTCCAGAACTGCTCAGAACCTGCTGAATACCATCTCTGCACCAGGGCCTCCATCCCAGGGCTCTTCGCCAGCTTACTAGCCTGCTTTTCTGAAAGTATAGTGCCCTGGGAGACTCCATCTCAAGGTGGATTCAGAAGATCTGGGACTGGCCTGGCAGAAGGAGTCACCACAAAGGTGCAGGGGAGGAGGGAAGGAGGATGGGCAGGAAAACTATTTATTTTTAAGTTAAAGAAAACTCTTAAGGCATACAGGTCTACGCATAAAATGAAGATACTACTTTTTTAACTTCTGGCCTGAATGGTCCTCCAAGGCCTGAAAAATAATTCAAGGTTTCCTCCAGACTTAAAAGTTGAGAAAAACTGTGCTAAATCATACTGCTTAACTCAAAAAGTTATTTGTTATTTGAGTTATAGACACATAATAAAATTATTTGGTAACTCTAGGATATTTCTAATTTTTGCTTTGTTCTGTGCAAAAGATTTCAATATTGCTTTTCTAGATTTCCCTTCTAGTGTATTTGTAAAGCTACAATATTTTTGTAATTCAGGATTTATATTTATGAAAGCACACTGAAGATCAGCCTGCCTACAAATGCTTATGCTTATTTTAACTATTTCCACATTCTCATATTTGGTTTTGATTCTATCAGTCTTTTCAAGACTCCAGTAGATTTGGAGCAATCCTTTAATACCTTTTTGTACCTTCATATAATTTCTCCCATTGCATTGTGGGGCTATGCATTTCTTTTTCTCTATTTTCTTAATTCATTAAAAACAACCAAATAAAAGCAAGTATGTGGAAAGAAAAACACTAAAAAACTCATGTCATCTCTTAAATAACTGAAGCAACTGAAGTATTCACATATATGCACAATTCCCCATGTAAAAGAGAGCATGATTGAACTACCTGCTCTGCAATTGTTAAAAATTGAAGCCTCAAAATTAGCATAATAAGCAAATTTGCATATATAAGAATTAGCTTATTAAATAATTTATTCCCTTTTCTAGTTAAATCACCAATTTCCCCTCACAATTCATTTTAAATGCCATGATTTCTTTCCATTCTTTAGCAGCCAATTTTTACTCCCAACTATTCTGCTTTTGTACATTTGACCATCCTATCTGATATCAGCTTGATATATTTGTTTGTTTGTTAAATTTATTTGCTCTTGAAAAATTATACAATAAAAGTTGCTAAGGAATCTTGCATTTTTTTATTGTACTATGTAGTCTTTACTTTTCACTATGGATTTTACTTCCAGCTTTGACTAATAATGGATAGTATACAATTCAGTCAACCATGTAACAAGATACAATTACAGAGTTTAATTTGTTTTCACTGTATCCATAGATTTTTGTTTGTGTTATCTAGTCAGATAATATTACTATTAGTAAATTAAAACAAATAGTAGTATTATCTAGTATTACAAAAGCATGATAATTTAATTATAAAAACAGTAGGATTTTAATAGCTGCAAGGACCGTACATTTCATTGTAATAATATGTTGGTTATGAAATTGTTGCTGGATTATCAGATTATGTCTCCCTTCCCTTATTATTGGTAAATAAAATAGTGTCTTATTTAACATAATGTTAAATATCTTAGTTTCAAATATATTTGTGTAAATTCAAAATAAACCCTTTTATATTCTTTCAAAAAAAATTCATCATGATCCTTTTTATGTTGTAATTCATCCAGTATCTACTCTATTCTTTTTTTCAAAAAAAAAAAAAAAATATGCTTAATTAAGCTTCTCCCTTGCAAATTCTTTCCAAATTTCAATATGGATAAAAATATTTTTTACTAAAATGTATAGAATAAAGGCCATAATCTAAATTGCAGTTTTAGTTAAAATGTGTTATTTAAGAAAGTAATTTAGAAGAAACATTAGCACAAATGAAAATATTGGAACTAAATAAATAACCTATAAGATTAAATTACCTTTGAAATTTGGTCTGATTCTTGCATCATAGCCAGACATTCTTCCCATTAATTTATCCAGAAAATCCGAAGGAGACATGGGCATACTACGGGATCTCGCACTGTCAATTTCCTTGGTGGCAACCAAACTAAAAGCAAAAAATAAAAAATAAATTCATAGGTGTAACCATACTTTTTTTTCCAGGTCTTAAAAACTATGTCTTTGTAAGATGAAGTTCATCATTTGAGTTCGGCATCACAGTCAAAGTCAACCCTCCCCAAAGCACCATATGATTTGCTAGATTCTATTTCAATATTTCTTTTAACCAGTCTCACTATTGTTTTGTGAAAAAAAATGTACCCTAAACACTGAACAGGTTACCAATGAGCTTTCGGCTGCAATTCAAGGGTAGATTGTCACCTTGACTCTGCTATCCTTTCAAAGATCCTTGAAGGCCTGTTTTGAATGTCCATTTAGGTTCAACCATGTTGGCTTAGTTTATGATGTATATTTGTTCTCTTCATTATGAAAATATTTTTTTCTGGTTTCACATACTTTTGGTTCTATTTTTAATTAAATTATGGCCAGCATTATTGTTAAGAGCTATGGTGGCACAGTGGGTAGAATGCAGTACTGCAGAGTACTTCTGCTGACTGCTGGCTGCCTGCTATTTGATAGTTTGAATCTCACCAGGCTCAAGGTTTCCATCTTTCCGTGGTCAGTAATATGATGACCCAGATTGTTGGGGGAAATATGCCAACTCTGTAAAATCGCTTAGAGAGGGCTGTAAACACTGTGAAACAGTATATAAGTCTAAATGCTATTGCTATTGCTAAGTGGTTTAAGGAACTTGCATTATTTATTTTTATTTTATTTAGTTATTACATTTATTTACTGCCCTTCTCAATTCAAGGTGACTCTGAGCAACTTATAATATTAAAAGCTAGGAAACCATAAAACATAAATATTTCTAAAGACAATAAAATAGAAGTACAATCAAGAATGAAATTACATTTAGAAGATGGGGAGGTATTATAAAATAGTTTAATCTCAAGTTTTTAACATGAAAAATGAGGATTCTTTTTCTTTTAACTATAAGACATCTGTTTTTTGTTCTTAATTATTATTTGATTCATTTTATATGGATTAATTAATTGTACTTCAATTAGAATCTATTAAAATGCAGCAGTATATAATTATAAGGAGCAAATAAATATAATATATAATAAAAGTGTTCCTTTAAAAATTTGGAATGTAGTATTAGGATACAGCTAACAATGGGCTAATAACTATGACTATTTGAAAAAAAAAACTACTGTGAATAGTAGAAGTATTAATAACTAATACTAGTAATGTTTAAAGCATCCTGTTAATCTTCATCGAAAGGTAAACGTATCAAAGATGAATCTGCTGGTGAGGGAAGACAATAGAAAAGGTTAGGACTAACATTTTGTGATTAGCCAAAATTACAAAAAACCAACCCAATATTTATCAAAATTCAATTGGCAATTGTATGCCTTTAACCTTAACAGGAAAGTTATCATTTTTAGCTACTATACAGTGGGGTTTTTTTACAGCTCAGATTAAATAGCCATAGCTTGTTCATCTTGTAGTAGCCTTTTGTAACTATGCAAAGTACCTATGTAAGAAAGGAAAAAGGAAAAAGTATTATTATATATTATTTTAAAAATCCCAGACAAAAATACCATCTGTAATATGCATCTAGCCTCTGACAAAGGATTATGGAATCCTCAGTATTCACCATTTTTGCTGAAGGTGGACAGAACACTTGATCCTTTCCATTCACTTAAACTTCTTGTCTACTTTCTAATTACACTACACAAGCACATTTCTATTGTTAATTATAAAAAACTAATTTAGCCAGGTATAGAGACAAGATGCAACATAGTTCACCTTCTTCTCTATTTTGAATCACTGTTTTTCCAACTCAAGTCTTACTTAGTTTTGTTGAAAGAGTGTTTCAAAAAAATAGTTCTGGCATGATTATTAAATATTGCACATTCTGCTATGATCTATACAGAAATCAACACAGTAAGGCATTTGATAAAATATACCACAACCTACTACTACATATAATAGAAAAATATGTTAGACAGCATCACCACCAGATGGATTCGTAACTGGCTGACCAATCACACTCAATGCGTAGTCCTCAATGAAGCTGCATCTACATGGAAGGAAGTATGCAGTGGGTACCCCAAAGTTCCGTTTTAAGCCCAGTACTCTTCACTATCTTCATCAATAATTTGGATAAGGAGTCAGATGGGGAACTCATCAAATTTGCAGATGAATCCAAGCTGGCAGGAATAGCCACCATTCCAGATGATAGGCTTAAGATACAGAAGAATCTTGACAACTTGAACATTGGGCACTATCTAACAAAATGAAATTCAATTATGAAAAAAGTAAGGTTCTAAATTTAGGTAAGAAAAATCAAATGCACAGATATAGTACAGGTGGTACCTGGCTCAATGGTAATAATTCTGACAGGGATCTTGGATTCCTAGTGGACAATCACTTAAATATGAGCCAGCAGTGTGCTGAAGCTGCCAAAAAAGCCAACACAGTTCTAGGCTGCATTAACAGAGGAATAGAAACAAGACCACATGAACTGTTAATACCATTTTATAATGCCTTGGTAAGACCACACTTGGAATACTGCATCCAGTTTTGGTTGCCATGATATAAAAAAGAGGTTGAGACTCTAGAAAGAGTGCAGAAGAGCAATGCTAGGGGCCTGGAAGCTAAAACAAAGAAAGAACGGTTCCTGGAATTGGGTACGTCTAGGTTAATGAAAAGAAGGACTAGTGGTGACATGATAACAGTCTTCCAATATCTCAGAAGCTGCCACAAAGAAGAGGGATTCAACCTATTCTCCAAAACACCTGAAGGCAGGACAAGAAGTAATGGATGGAAACTAATCAAGGAGAAAAGCAACCTAGAGCTAAGGAGATATTTCCTGACAGTTAGAACAATTAATCAGTGGAACAACTTGCCTCCAGAAGTAGTGAATGCTCCAACATTGGAAGTTTTTAAAGAAGAGATTAGACAACCATTTGTCTGAAGTGGTATAGGGTTTCCTGCTTGAGCAGGAGTTTGGACTAGAAGACCTCCAAGGCAGGGGTGGGTGTCTACCAGTTCTGTCCACCTCTGTAGAACCGGTAGCTCTGAAGAGCAGCAGACATAGAACCGGTTCTATGTCTGCTGATGTTTTTGCCCACCCACCCGCCCTGGCTTTTACCTGACCTTTACTTCCTGCTTTTTCAACTTCAGCTGTTGTGCGAGGCACAGCTGCAATTTAAAAAGCAGGAAAAAGGGCTGTTTCAAACGCTGCTTCTCTGCACGCAGCATGCTGATGATGATTTACAGGCATGCGTGTGCAGCGTGCAGGGAAGCACATTGTAAATCACCGAACCTCGTAAATCACCAAACCAATAGTTAACCCTGTCGGATCCCACCCCTGCTCCAAGGTCTCTTCCAACTCTGTTATTCTGTTATTCTGAAATCTTGTTATAATCATTAAAGAAGATATATATAAAATAGAATAGAATTCTTTATTGGCCAAGTGTGGTTGGACACACAAGGAATTTGTCTTGGTGCAAATGCTCTCAGTATACATAAAAGAAAAGATATATTTGTCAAAAGTCAAGAATCATCAGGTACAACACTTAATAATAGTCATAGGATACAATCAAATCATACTAGGAAACAGTCAATATAAATCGTAAAGATACAAGTGACAAAGTTACAGTCATACAGTCACAAGTGGGAGGGGATGGGTGATAAGGACTGATGAGAAGGTTAATAGTAATAGCAGTGCAGACTTTGTAAATAGTTGGACAGTGTTGAGGGAATTGTTTGTTTAGCAGAGTAGTGGCATTCAGGAAAAAACTGTTCTCGTGTCTAGTTGTTCTAGTGTGCAGTGCTCTATAGCATCCTTTTGAGGGAAGGAGTTGAAACAGTTTATGTCTGGGATGTGAGGGGTCTGTAAATATTTTCACAGCCCTCTTTTTGACTCATGCAGTATACAGGTCCTCGATTGAAGGCAGGTGGGTAGTAAATGTTTTTTCTGCAGTCCTAATTATCCTCTGAAGTCTGTGTCTGTCCGGTTGGGTTGCAGAACCAAACCAGACAATTATAGAGGTGCAAATGACAGACTCTTCTTAAAATCTTCTTAAAATCTCTTGCTCTTCCCATCAATTTTTTGTTAGATTAACAATCTTATTTCATGTCCCTCTGTCTTTTTCAATTTGCCTATTTTTGCCATTTTTAATTCCTTGGAAGGCTTTATTATTTTTGCAAGTCCTTAAGCAAAGAAATTAATACTGTATATTGGTGCCATCTTTAGATCAAGCAACATTGTTCCCTATTTACTGAAATAGTTAAACTCTTTAGAAAAGGTTTTGTGCTATCCCAGATGACAAAAGTACTGCAAATAACATTTGACATACAAAGGGACAGTTCTATTGTGAAGCTTTCCTGTTGTTACTGCTAGTCAGTTGATATTCAGGTTGATACAATCCTGTAATTGGTGTAGTGATCTGGAAGAAATGGTTCTTTCCCACTCTCCAAAGCAGAAGACCCTGTAAGACAATTCTGGAGGCAGCAGGGTTGTGCCCATTCCATTCTATATCTGGTTGCTTATGCACGCACCCTACAGACCTCTTAGGAAAGGGGTGAGGTCAATAGTAGACAGTCTAAGGTTAAAGTTTTTGGGGTTTGGGGAAAAAAACCACAGAGTCAGGTAGAGTATTCCAGACATTGACCACTCTATTGCTGAAGTCGTATTTCCTGCAATCAAGTTTGGTGCGATTAACCTTGAGTTTGTATCTATTCTTTGCTCTAGTGTTGTTATGGTTGAAGCTGAAGTATTCATTGACAGGTAGGATGTTGTAATGTATGATTTTATATATTATACTTAGATTGGACCGAAGGCGGTGTAGTTCTAGGTTTTCTAGGTCTAGAATTTTGAGTCTGGTGGCATAAGGTATTCTGCAACGAGTAGAGGAGTGGAGAACTCTTCTTGTGAAATATTTCTGGACTTTCTCAACTGTGTTAATATCAGATACATAATGTGGGTTCCAGACTGATGAGCTATATTCGAGTATTGGTCTAGCAAATGTTTTGTACGCTCTAGTTATTAGTGTAATATTACCAGAGAAAAAGCTATGTAAGATTAGGTTAACAACTCTTAACACCTTTTTGGCAATGTAGATACAGTGGGCTCGAGCACTTAGGTCATTTGAGATGAGTACTCCAAGATCCTTGACAGAGTTTGGACTTGTGTTTGATTAAGTGAGAATATGAAAGGCTGCCAAGGTTTATGAGTTTTATTGAAATATTGAAAATATTTAGCAAAGTTAGAACAGAAAGCAAACATATGGGATTCAGCAAGAAAAAAATCCCTGTGTCCAAGGAAAGAAAATCATATAAACCAAACTCCCTTCAGAAGAAAACATCTACCATAGGAAGTAACAAAAGTAAGCATATTAAATTCTGGTTCAATCAGTTGTTCTTTATATGTAATAGGTATCCAGGGACATGGACAATAATAAATATTTAAGTGATTGACATGATACAAATATATGACTTAGGTATGTGTATGTAACAGTGGAATGCAAATACAATTGGCCATGGTTTGTGACATTGTTACGCATATTTTCTTATTTTTCCTGTTATCAAAGTATATACTAGATTCTTATTCCCTAAACCCTATGGAACAATTATGCTTAGTTAGTTCTTTCAACAAAGTTAAATATTCTTCATTAAAGCACAAACAACTAATAAAAGCTACATATCAAATGTAATACAATTCTGCTACTACCTTGGATCTTTAATGTGATTTAATAAAAATGTAAGCAATATACTATCAAATCTGTGCTACAAAACTCCAGACTACTGTTTTTTCTATGGCTTTTTTTTAAAAAACTGGGAGTTAATGCCGAAACGGGACCGCATGCAGAGGGGAGCACCGGAAACCAGAATAGCAGCTCCCCAGCATAAAAATACAGGACCAGTGATACTTAGGTACTCTTCGAATTACAACCACAATTGAACCCAAAATTATGATTACTAAGTGAGACATTTGTTGTTTCTCCATTTTACAACCTTTCTTGCCACAGTTGTTAAGTGAATCACTGCACTTGTTAAATTAGTAATTAACGGTTGTTAAATGAATATTGATCGACATTGACTTTGCTTGTCAGAAGGTTGAAAAAGATGATCACATGACCCTGGAACACCGCAATCATCATAAATATAAGTCAGTTGTCAAGCATCTGAATTTTGATCACATGACCATGGGGATGCTATAACGATTGTAAGTGTGAAAAACAGTCATACGTCTCTTTTTTCAATTATGTTGTAACTTCAAATGGTCATTAAATGATCTGTTGTAAGTCGACGGCTGCTTGTAGAAGCCATAGTGAAAACATCAATTGTTTGTCATGAAAGGTTAACTCAGCCAGTTCTCTCTATGAACATGAACAAGTCTTCTCTGGTGTATAAAGGTTTCTCTGTCTGAACAAGGTCTTAACATTCATTGTATCGATTGGATGAAGACCAGCACCATTTTATCAGGGAACAAGTTATACTATCACCTACAGTTTCAGGGATGCCACCCATCAGAGAAAAGAGTGCAGTCTACATATCAAAAAGATATCAACATGAAATGAATGAAGAACTTTTGTAAATTATTTTTGACCCTTGGCTTCTGGGTGAAAAGAAAATGCTTTAGCCTGACAGTTTTAAGCAAAGAATAAATGATGATCATTTGCTACAAAACACAGGAAAGGCTTTGTCAGGTCAGGACAAGAAAGTAGCATTACATGTTAAGTGACAGCATTATTGTATTCTATAATACTCATACAAATATTGCAGGAAAAATAAGGGACACTATATTTATATGAATAATATTGGTAATATCAGCATTTTACTGTGATGTACAAACCTGTTCTTCATTCTAAAACTCACTAATTAAAACTTTTTAAGATACATAGTACAGATTGTATTTAAACAATATTACTCACTATTTGATTCCAATGAAATCAAATTAAAGATGACTAATGGTTGACTAACGTACTTTAGGATCTCATCCAGTAGATTAATTCAATACATTGTCTATTTTATCCCAGTAGTAAATCAGGCAAAGAAAACCAGACATTTATGCATAATTGTTAGTTATTCAAATATTAAAGGCAGCTATACAGGAAATTTCTAAATTTCTGAAGTCCAAAACAGTCATGGGGAAAAGGGACTAGGATTTCAGGTATAAATATAAGATTAGGAATACTCTCTTTCATAAAGTACAGGTAGGGAACCTGTGACACTACAGAAATTGTGGAACTACAGCTCGAACTACAATTTCAACCAGCATGACTACTGATGAGGAATTGTATAAGTACAATTCAGCATCATATGGAGGAGTTATCAGAATCAGAAAATTCAGAAAATTCTAAACATTAACCTACTGTGGAGGAATTTTCTATCAGATTGGCTGAATCTTTTTAGAAACTTTGAGTGTGGTAAAATATGGTTCCATGCACACCTTTTCTTGCCCTCCCCATAGAATTTTATGAGAAAGAAAAATGCAAATAATCAATTTAAAAAAAGATCAAAGCTATTCATATAACAGATACTGGCATGACTGGATCTATCCTAATTTTTAAAAAGCCTTTAAATATAATTAAAAACAAAACAAAAATAGGATGGAAAGATTCTGGGGTGGCTGGACAGAAGCACCATGCATACATTTTATTGTGGGTTCTTACTTGTCTTAACAAATCTTCACTATAGTGATCTTACAAAAACATTGTAGCACAGTACAATGTTCACTTCTGCATGGTTTGATGATGCTAATGTGGTTTGTCAAATATCTTTTATTGTGCACGTTACCACTCACTAGTTGCTTTTATTGTTAGAAAGTATAGAGGTTTCTATAAAAAATATTTGTTTTACCATATTTGTTTACTTACAGGGCTGTAGGCTACTCCAAATGAAATTGACTCTGAACAAATTACACATTTTATTTGGATAAATAAGATTAAAAATATATAATGTCTATAATAAAAATAACACCATACAATTTAGTGCAATAAATCAGAAACCAAAATATTAGAGAAAAGGGGCATAACAGTTGCATCCCTAAGGCCTATTTTTTTTTAGATGCAGTTTTGTACAAACTGTTTCTCCTCCTTTCCATTATATGTTTTGTTTTATTTTATTCTATGTAATTACTGCTAATATACAGGAATTTATAGGATGATCACTTCTGGACAGGCATCAATAAGGTTTAGTAATGTTTGGGAAGCATCCACAAGATAATTTCACTATACTAACGAACTATATAAGCAAGACTAGAATATATTCTTTCCTTCTCTTTTTTAACTAAAACACAAGATAATTGGTTGTAAAAATGTTTAGATAACAACAGATGTGTAAAATTGAAAATCATTCCATAGTCTATACAAGGACTCTTGCTTACTTAGGATATGCACATTTTTTAATAATTCAAGGCTAGAATCATCTAACTATCATTTTTTTTTGCTGTCAGAAACATTTTTATTGATACCTTTATTATATTTTAACTTTTTGACTGAAAATATTTAAATAAACACTTCTCAATAGTTTTAAAACATTATTTATTTATATGATGCATTATTTGCATTTGCTCATGTGAATGCTTTTTTCTCAAAAATAAAATCTAATAATTTTCAGTGTTAAGAGTAACATTTAAAGGGCTTGCCACTGCTATTTGTATTTTTGAGACTATTATTTACTGTAGATAGTTGATATGTCCTTTCAATAACTTAGGCATATATATTATGCAAGATGTATTCAATTCTTGAAAACAAAACATCAGAACAGACTTGCATTTCATATAACTTGGTAAAATTATTTATAATAGTTAGAATTCAGAATGGCATAAGATTTTTGTGGAAAAGATTCCTTATACTACATGATTTGTAAACTTTATATATCACTGAATATTTACAGTGTAATGTTTGAGCTTTGCTAGCCAGTAATACCTTTGTAAATTACTTTAAAAACATCCAGTTTTGTCTTCCCATTTCATTTGCATAAAATTAAACTGTCTTAAATCCAAACACCTTAGTTTGAAAGTGTTTGTGATATCAGTTACAAGAAATATAAATATATCCGATAAACTTCAAATACAAGAGTAGTATTCAAATACAAAAAGAAAGCTTTTATATTCTATTTCGTCATGTCTCAGAGTGGGGAGGATATTTAGGGAAAAGATTTATGGAGAAACTTACATTGCATTTTGTTATTATTGTCATAGGTAACATATACATAATTCTTCTTGTTTTATTTATTCTATGAAAGTAAATTTGAAGAGCAGGTTAAGAAGAGACACAATAATTCTCATATATTTATGAAAACAGTCTATCGTGTAGTTTAAACTAAAAGATATATAATATTTACACATGGATGCCAAAAAGCAGACTTTGAATACTGATTGAGATTCATCTTTTTCTTACACTACTAGGAGGATGAAAGTTACGTCCTTTTGAATATTTGCTATGCCTTGCTTCATTTGTGCTGCCCCCCCCCAAACACAGTATGAAACAATGATGCTTAAGAGAACTGAGGGAGTTTAAAGCAGTATAAAGCGCATCTGCATCAAGGGCAAAAGGAGGCAAGAAGCATTTGATCTGCCAACAAATAATTTGGTCTAATGCACCAGGCTAGAAACCAGGAAACTCTGAGTTCTAGTCCTGCCTCAGGTATGAAAACCAGCTGGGTGATTTTGGGCCAGTCACTCTCAGTCTAACTTATCTCTCAGAGTTGTTGTGGGGAAAATAGGAAGAGGAAAGAGTATTTGCTGCTTTGAATTAGTTACAAAAATAATAAATTGAGATTTTAAAAAGTACTTATAAAACAGAATAAAGTATTAGGACAAGAGATTAAGACAAAATAATATTGTCCAGAATATACCAGGTCATCATCCTAAACAATGTCTGCAGAATATTAGAGTACAGAATCCTTTTTACAGCTCTATCATTGCACTCCCCCCCTTGTCTATTTACATCACCCCAAAAACATATCTGCTGATATTTATCGAGGCTTACCTGAGCAGCACCGCAGCTTCCCACAGATAGAATCCTGAGACAGCAGCACGCAGGTATTTAATATGGGCCATGGTATGGCGAGGTATTTACAACCTGCTCCCAAAAGAAGGCGTCCGAGTCATAAGGGGACGAGGAGGCTCTGAAGGATCGGAGAGTTCGGAATGAGATCGCTTCGGTAGCTGGAAAAGCGGCCGAGTTTTCAGGACCCTGGAGAGCTCCCTGACAATCGACAGAACCTGTACGAACCGAGGACGTCTTTTCCCAGGGTGATCTATTCGCCGGCGCTTGGGATGTCGTGCATTTTTGGGTTGTTGTTGGCAACCAGCTCGCCGAGGTTTGTATTGTGCATCTAAAGGGAGAGGCTAATCCCAGGGGGCAAGACCAGGCAGCCAATGAAGGGCATCGGGAAAAGGCAAGCAGCAGCAAAGTACACCTACTTTGAGGTTTTCCTCTGTCCCTTCTTTCCTTCTCTGTCCAGAAGCCAATTCGCCACATTCCTGAACACTGGCAATGGCAAGACTAGAAAAGGAAGGAGGCGGAGACAGATTCAAAGCAGTGGACTCCCACCCACTCCAATAGGGAAGCTCCCAGACTGACAGAAGGCTGTGCAAGAGTTGTTTGACTAAAGAGTAAGAGAGAACGGGGTGCAAAAATGAGGTGGGGCAGGGACAAAATTGGTACTGTGATCCCCTCAAAGGGGTATCCTTTAGCAAAGGAAAGAGGAAAGAACTTATGAACTACAGGACAGAACTACCGAAAGGGACAGAACATCTTCCAAAGGAGATAGCTTTTTTTTTTAAAAGAGTTTTCATGGATTGATATGCATACCTGCAATGCCTAATGTAAAAATGGGTCACTCTGGGAATAATTTGTCTTGAAGTTTATATGAAAGGTTGAGCTATGGAAGCCTGGAGGAAACCTGTGATGATCTTAGACTTCCAGAGAAGGAGAATTATTACCAGTCTTTTGTATATTTGGAAGACTTGTGGAGAAGGAGGTGGATTGCATCCCCCCCTTTTTTGTCTTTTTCTGTCTCCCTTTCTGTTTCTCTATGAATGCATTGGAGATGGTAAAACTTTCACTCATAAATTATCAATATGAATGCTCTATTAACAAAGCAGCATAAATGGCTTTCTCTGAGGATGCATGTTCTATTTTATTTATTTAGGTGCACTGACGTGAATCTAAATAATAAAACACATATACCAAAATATGTGGGTGATGACAAAATAAGCATTATAATTTCATGTATTACTTAATGTAAGCATTTTTACATATAAGCATCATTTTTAATGAAATCAACTATCACTTAAGTAGAAATTAGCAAATTCCACCCAAATTAAATTAATATGATTACTATTTGTAAATGCATAGTGCAATAAAGATGAAAGCACATTTAGGTTCCTTTTATACATTTTAAAAAAAAAGTAATTGTCTTGTTTCCCTTAGAGATTGATGGGATCACTAATATTTTTCATAGTAGTACTTAAAACTTATAAACTGGCATTTCTAATGTAAACATAAAGAGGCTCTACTTTGTAAAGTAGTATTCTTTATGCTTCTAATATGCTTTATGCTTCTAATATGCTTTATGCTTC